TTATGTAACTATTTTCTATTTTTGAATTACTTAAAACTATGTGCAATTATATGAATTTAAGTTTTAATTAAAATTAGTATATGAGTTTTTAACCATTTTTTATTAATGCTCCTAAGAAGGTTTAAACACTATTTCTTTTATTTTTAAGGTTCACTCTTTATTTGTTTTTTTGTTTTGTCAATTTGATCAAAATTAACAATCCTATTGACCATACATCACGTGACTGCGCACGGCTCCTATATTTGGAACGTTTTTATCTCGACCAATCATATGAACGTTTTCCTATGTAGTTTACTTATTATATCACTAATCAAATAGGCTGAGCGCTAAGGAGAGAAACCAGATTAACACTTTTAAAAAATCTTTTTTTGAGCTTAACTAATCCAAAATTAGCTTATAAACATTTTTTACTTAAGGAACAAATATGTTATCTTAATAAAATTTTGCAGTATACCGCTTTAAAGATTGTTGTCTTATAATTTATTTATAGATTTATAATATAAAAATTAATTTACCGTAAAACTTTTGTTAATTTGTTTCCTTTTCTCCCAAATAGAAGTGTATGCAATTTCGAGTGCCACAATGCAAAATTGAAATATTCCCACTTAAAGTTACACAACATACATTGAAAAAGATTTAAGTTCCTTTAATTTGCAGTGTAACGACAATGATAAGAATTTTATAAGTATCACATGGTCATTTAAATTTATCCAAACCAGTGTTGGGACTCTAACCTAATTTTTATATGTTTATTAAGAAAACTTGTGTTCTCAGAGAACATCAGATTTCCCACACTAACCCTAACGTATTGATCAAAATTAATTAGTTCCTCTTTCAAACAGTTGCTTTCTCTTTTAAAATCAGAAAGTTACTAAATTTATAACACGTATGAGTTGCCAATCATTTTTAATGTAAGGTTTGAATAAGTATAGCTTTGAACCTGTTTTACTATCGCAGAATCTATTAATAATGTTTTTCGTGGTAGAAAAAGGTCTAGTATGAAATCCCGACACCCAAAATCTTGACAGCCATAATACTGACATCACGCAATGTGACAATTAACTTTTAAAGATTAGTAATTACATTAACAATCATTGTCAGATTTTAAATTTTTAATTGCCACAACGTGCGATGGCCTGTCGGAAGTTCTTATTAGACTCAAATCATAAATTTTTATCACGAAAACATCATTTATTCCATTTTATTCCGATATCACCAAAAAAAAACCCCCATTTTAGCCAACCATAATTTAATTTTCAAAAATAAGTTTAATTTTCGAAGATTATTATGCGATAAATAGTGATATTTGATTGGCTATAATTTATCATTTATTCATTCTATTTCGTTTTATTCTTAATAGAAGTATTCGCCGTCACTGTCCGGTATAAAAGGCCAAAATCCATATAACGTGATGAGTTTTGTCCTTTTCTAGTACCAGTATCTAAATATTTAAATTTGGAGTCTAATTATCGCACGGTTTTCCGCTACAGGATTTACTTCCACATCTGATATCAGTAGCATTTACTTTTCGCAAAATCGGTAGCATTTTGATTTCATGTGGCTTCTTTACCAGACATTTGATATTCTTGCTAATAATGCCAATTCGCTCGTGCGATGTAAATTATTTATTACTGTACTCTGTAATTATTTATATAAAATGGTATTTAACCATTTCATTATTATTTATCCAAATATTTGCGTGGAAGTATAAAATATTTTACGTATTTTTTCAAATTTGCAATTTAACTGATGCTTTAATGTTGTAATCATCGCAGAGGTAATTTTGCTGAGGGAAGTATTAATTCTATAATCATTGCAGAGGTTACTTTATTGTATAAGCATAGAATTTGCTGAGTGAAGTAACGGAAAGTAAAATACATAATATAGTATGTGAAATTGGAAAGTTCGAAGATCAAGGAACCAGGTGATGTCTTCATGGTAATCACATCACATGATTAAGCATTCGGCCTACGTTCTGGTTAGTGTTAGGGTTAGCGTTAGGTGATAGTATAGTTTAGGCTAATTTGTTTAGTGCTAGTAAACAAATGACGTAATCACATGATTTCACGTGATGTGATGATCACTGGGTTCCTTGTTCTTCAAGTCTCCTGTGAAATAAATAATACTATATAATATTTGGCTCGAGAAAATATTTTTGTTGATTTTATCGTCATTAGATATTTATTCGTAATATATCTAAAAGGGCATTGCTTTACCTTAGTTTCAGCGTTGCCAATACGCAATCGAGAACTTTTTTAGCATATCAGTAAAAATGTGCAGATCGAAAAATCGGGAACAAGTACCCTGTGATATCTTCGTGCTCATCACATCACATGACTACAGGGTTAGGTGATAGTATAGTGTAGGCTGATTTGTTAGTGGAGTAAACAAATAATGTCATTGTAGGATTTCAAAACATCCCGACAGCTAAAAATCCTGACAGTTAAAAATCCGACAATTAAAAACTCTGATAAAAAATATAATAGACATGGCAAACCCTATCCCAACCATTATCTAAAGTGATCTAACCCTAAAATTATAGAAGTCTATTTCGCTTTAAACATATCTCATACTTGCGATTTTCTACCTAAAAATTCTGGCTGTCGGGATTTTGACCGCACCCTCTTCAAGTGTCTCGAAAATCTTTTATGTTAGAGTTAGATGTTAAAAGGACCTATACTAAAATTGGCCAAGGAATTTTTTTTTTTTGTTAGAACGCAAAAGGTGGTTTCTTATGCTAATTTTTAGAAATAACTTAGATAAAAAAATGGTTTAGATATTCCTGATCGTACTATATTGCGTATCATGATCAGCTACTCTTATCGTTCTTGCTACGTGATCATTCGGTATAGGATTCATTTTATCACGTGATAAAATAAATGTCTGTTCTTAAATATATCTAAGAACATTGGGTAATTTTTAAAAAGGTAAAAAAATCCAAATTCTATATCGACAAACTTCAATGCACAATACTTATATCGATATGTAACCGAAAAATTCATAACGATTGGAAATATATAAAATGCAAGAAAGAATATGGAAGTGTAGACATCTAGCAAAGCTCTTTGGGTCGATATAAAAGCATAATGGAGTGCTGAAATAACACAAAGGACGAATGGTGCATCAGGAAATTTTAAAACCTGATTATAAACTGTTAATCGATTATAATCGATTATAATCGATGGATTTTATTTGGTAGACTTTCAATCAGGTTTTAAAATATCCTGATGTAAGCCGGATGGCCTAGAAAGGTATAGACTAAATGAAGCATTGGTATAAATCCAGTTGTGTGACTGGTAAGATTTGAAACAAAAATCAACTAACGCTAACCCTTATCGTTCTTGTTATAGAAATTTGAATGACAAGATTAAAACGTCTGATTGTTTAGCTGTGTCTAGTTTTTTTTATATTAATTTCACCACCCTGATATTGATTATATGTAATAAATATGTATCACATAACATAAAATACTTGTTCTTACATTAATGAAATATTATAGCGGCAATTGCACCTTAAAAAAATAAAATAAATGGAATATGGTTAAATTAGACTTACATCCAAACAAATATGCAGAAATATCTATCAAATTGCATAATCCCATAGAAACATAAAAAAAAAAAAAAAAAACTAAAAGAAAATTAAAGTCTAAATCCGCCTTGATGCACTAATAAAAAAGTGTTGGGAAGGCAATTTTACTTATAGAAGCCTTTCTAACCCTAATCTGACCTCAGCGCGGACGCCTAACATCAATTAAATCAAGATGCATCCAAAAAATTGCACCATAACAACTATCAAACTTCATGACGATCCAAGTTTCTTTTGTAAAAATAATATATGCACATATCCTATTCATGACGTGATTCATTATTTACCCTTGCAAAGTACAACATTTGAAGCTATACTCCTAGAAAAATTTTCACAACTTGCTCAGAAAACATGTAAACGAATGAACAATCGCATTTTTATGAATACTGTAGCCATAGATATTCATTATCTTATTATGAAACCAGCCTTCGATTAGTCATCCCTACATATTGTTCTTGAATTACACAAAGTCGTAGTTTTATATCTTTGGAAATTAGCATGTCCTTGAGAAAAAGATAATAGCTTTTTATGATGTTCATACAAGTTTACCCGCATGATATTATAATTATAGTAAAACCATGACGGTACGTGCTTTTTATAAGAATAATGTAGGACAAATTATTATAAAGTATTTTGATTCTAATGATCGTATACAATAATCTTTAAATTTTAGACAAACAGGTAGTTATTTTTGAACACGAATCGAAGTAAATAATTTGAAGTTTTAATCGCAAATCATACTAGATAACAAATTAAAACTATTAGTTCATGTTTAAGCATAGCTATTCAAATAAGTTTCAATCAGAAACCGAGATAATAATGATAATTAGTTGGTAAATACATTCGAAAAATGAGTTACCGGTTAAGTACCTATATATGCAGTAAGAAAGGAATTCCAGCACCGAAGTTTCATGAAATTCTAATGTAAAATGGAAAGCTAAAACGTAGCGTCTAGCATGTAGTGGCATTTTTTAAAAAAAAAATTCTTAGTAAAAAAAAAAAAAAAAATTAAAAAAATGAAAAAAGGACCAATTTTATAACCATTTTAGGATACTGAAGTTCAGTTGTAACACGGGGAAAACTCCGATCACATTATTGGCAGTACTATAACCAAACAAGATATAATACTTTGCACAAAAATAACTATTTGACTTTGCACCAGGCATTTATTTCTTTCATTATTTTCTATGTATTAATTAATTTTTTTTTACCATTTACTGATATTCCTGTAGTTTCGGCGCCTCTTATTGCCCTTTTAAAGGACAATTGACACAGCATTGCAATGATTGAGTATATAAGTATCCGATTCTTGCTGTCTCAGTATAAACAGTACATTATAAATAGTCACTCTTTTCTCCTTCAATTCCAAAATCAAGTATACTAAAATTTTAAAAACATTCCAAAAAATATTTCAAATGATTTTACGAAGAAGCAGAAATCCAATAAATTCTATTGAGTTTAGATCTGACAAACTTCGAGAGATCGATTCAAAGAATAAAATCATGATAAAAAATCTTGTAAAGCTTAGAAAATTAATAAAAATTGAATCAATTGACGCAATTGCATTTTATCACAAACATAAAGAATCAGTTGCAGACTCAATGCTGATAGAAGTCGATTCAAAAAAGAAGGAAATCCAACTGAATAACGCAATTGATTCGAGCCGCAACAAATTATCTAATGAAGTAGCTGCGAAAGATGTGATTTACAGTCGCGAAAACTGCAAGCAACTTTCTAATCTAATTTATCTTTTAAATTTATGATATAGTATTTATAATTGAACATGTTATTAGTAGATTAGAAAATGGCATACGTCCTTTTGTAATTGACATAAATTTAAATTTTGAATTTTTGCTATACAATTAATATTACACTTAAGTACTAATTTTATGTTAAGGGTTGTGCATTTTTAATATTAAATATTATTGACGAACATTATAAATTTGAGTAAAATCTTTGAGGATAGAATTTATATAAAATATTTACTATATGATTATAGTGATACAATAAAATTATTTGTATATAAAATAAAATATATTATCAAAAGATTTTTTAATAAATGCAATTAAAATTCGATAATATAAAATAGTTTATTTATTATGGAAAAATTTAAGAATTTTCATGTTTGAAAAAATGCACTTGGATTTACGTATTATAAAATTTACTATAATGAACATAAATTTTTATATTTAAAGTTTATTAATTTTTTAAAATAGTTAAATTTTAAACTAAGATTTTTAAATAACTATTTGATCTTTAATAAATTTAATTTAGATTTAATAATTGTAGTAACTGATGCTAAAATCGAGGGTACCCGTATAAATCCATACCACCTACTAAGAAATTATTATTAATAACACTAGCCATAAACTCTAACCAAACTATAAAAAAAAGACTAAAAACCCCCTCAAAAATTTTATAAATTTATAATAAAATAGTATTAGCCAAGTTCAGCATCAGTTGCCAAATAATTTTACTATTATTAGAGTTAAAAAAAACCTATTTTTACAATTTTATTTAAAATAGTTTGTTTAATATTTCTTAAATATAAATATAAAAAATACTATTAAAATTATATAGCAAATAACCTATGTTTACTCTATTTTTAAATACTGTATACTAAAAATTTAAATTATTTAATATTCATATATAATCATTTCTATTTTTTTTGAACATGTATTACGTATTTATTTTTTAAGATAACCGATTAAAAGATTTATTAGATTATAAGCTCCTGCTTTAATGCATCCCAATACAAAAGCTTATCTAATTCTAAAAATTGATAAGTAACGATTACCAAAAAGCATTACAATAAATAAAGTACAAAAAAAGAAAAATAGAAAGAGACAGAGTCGAGTAGCTATTTCAGATTAATCGCCTCACAGAGTTTTTTTTGAAAGAACCTCAACTTACATTTGTTACAGAATAACTATTTTTTTTTATCTTCGATGACATATATACACCAATCAAACATGTAATAAATATGCAAAAAACGGTATAACCTGACATATTATATCTACTATAATATGATATATTGTAATGCTTACGATTTATATACTACCTACTTCAACACAATGAAAGCCGCAATTCCATTATCCCAATGCACCTGCACCTTTACTGGCGATCCAATATTCAAAGAATCCTACTTTAACTTTGATCCTGTCCAGAACTTTAATTTTATATAAAACAAGAAAGACAAATTCGTATGATAAGTTATTTCTGACAAAAAAAAAATCATTTTGAATGGGGTAATTGTAACTTCTTTTCTCGAAACAAAATAAATTCCACAATTCTCTGCTCAAGTTCTCTTTCTTCCAAAATGCCATCATGAGTTCCTTTTATCCCAGTTTGATAATCCACACTAAATTCATTTATTTTAATTTGTGTAATATATTTATAAAAATTATTAGCCTGTTCAATATCAACTAACTCATCTTCTAAAGAATGAACAATTAGATAAGATGGTATCTTAATAACCGTATCATTGGTTGAATTGTATTTTGGAGACACAGATTTGTAAACTTCAGGATCCGTGCCAAACGCTGGTTCAACATATTTTGTATAAGCAGGCCAACGCTCCAATAACGATGGTATATCGTAAATACCTTCGATACCGACAATCCCACGAATTGAATTCAATAATTTTTTAGCTTCATCGATATTTTTCGAGAAAGAGCCTGAAGCATTAATAAGATATTCAGGAGTGAATACAAGTTGAGCTGATAGAAAAGCACCAACACTATGTCCAACTAAGTACATCCTATCACCCAGATATCCATATTTATCACCATTTGAATAAATCCAAGTTATAGCAGCTGCCACATCGTTTATGTGCGCTGGATGTTTGATTTCGGGAGTTGTACTTGTCCTATAGTTTATTAGAGCAACAGCGAAATTTGTTACAGATGAAACGGATTTTCCTAGAGATTCAAGATCTTTTTTATCACCCGAGATCCAGGCACCTCCGTGAATCAAGATGATAATTGGTGTAGGCAATTTGGTTACGGCATCTTGCAAAGTTAATGTAGGGATATAAAGATCAAGCGTCTGTTGAGGATGAAACGGTAAGTAAGGAATGTCTGTGTGAACTATCATCGTTAATTGAGAATGGTCTAACTAATCCAAATGCGTACGTACATATTTATGTTTACTCAACATGTGATCATATTGTCGGATCAGTTATTCTGGTTAATTAAATGATCAACAATTTATGACCGGAATTATAACTGATACGTATTATTAGAACTGAACTGACTCGTATATGCACCAATCGGATTTTTTTTAATGATCATCGCCAATAAGATCATTAGATCAGGTGTAACGTGAAAATCACGCTTTTTTTAAAAAACAGACGATAACTAAAAATTTTGACT